AAAAAAAAAAAACATTTCAGAACAGTGCTGTCTTGTTTACATTTTGGCATTTTCAAGTTGTGACTTTGAAGTTCCATGGGCCTGAAGACCTTTGCTAGTCACATTTTCTGAATATCCATGATACTAATATTTAATTATTAAAAATTGATGGTCATTATGCTGTTAAACATTATGTATTATTGCATCAAAATTTGAAAAAAACCTATTTTGGGCACTGCTCCCATGATGACCATTTAAGAGAAACCATGTCACTTACTGTTCTCAAACAGTACAGTAAATATGTACAGATGTGTCGGTACATATTGCCATCACCTGTGTCTGTCGTCGCCGTCACTGTCGTGCCGTCTGCCGTGCACTTTCATTGTAAACACGATAAGTGGAGGGCAGTTTTACTTTTTGGCTTAATATTTACAGAGCTGATGACTATTCATAAAACGCAGGTCAAGTTCGAAAATTAGCCTGATCGGGCCATTATTGTAGAATTTATGCTGTTTTTTCACTTTTCAGCATATATGCAACACTGTAAACACATTTTAAGGAATGTACTTTTGCATCAGAATTGACAGTAGCCTATTTTGTGCATAGTTATTTCCTGTTTTTTGTCTGTACATTTGACAGCTTTGCTGCCTTGTTAATTTCCTACTGAGAAAAGTACTTTTTGTAATAACTATATTCTTTGTTTTTAATTTCCTACTGAAAAAAGTACTTTTTGTAATAACTATCATCTTTTCTTTTATTTAATTTCCCACTGAGAAAAGTACTCTTTGTAATAACTTTTTTCTTTTTTTTTTAAACGTTACTAAATATGAAAAAAGACGAGTGCTTGTATAAGTTCTCTTCTATTAGATACCATATTTTAATGGACATGTCACCAGCACCTCTCGTAACCTGCACTTTGCACTTTCTTGGAATTTATACTTGCTGCAAATTATTCTCAAACTTACTGGATTGATTCACAGAACTGAGATAGGTGCCAACTATAGTTTTTAAAAAATGCCTGGATTATTTTACTAGATAATTAAAAGTTAACAATTATGATATTTTCAGACACATCTGGTTCTGTGGTGAGGTGGTCACCATTGGGCTGTTGGACAGGTGCATGAAAACCATGCCGTGGATTAGGTTCTTCAACTTGTACAGTGTCTCTGAGTGTCACGATGTCGCTGTGGCCGACTTGTCACATTTCTACCAGGATATGAAGGTGAGTGTTGCATGTTCATTATCAAAATGTCAGGCTTACTTTCGGTCTTGTCATTAAGTTTAGTTAATTCTGAGAGGAAATTGGAAAGAAGAGCTAAATGTCAGTCAGAGATAAGTAGTAAATCTTTGTCACGAAAAAGTATATATAGATTTATCCTGAAAAAAAGAGGTTTCTGAGAGAGAATTGTTAAATGTCAGTCCTAGCCAAATAAGTAAGGAAATAAAAATAAAGATCATGAATTTAATTTTGATATATTCTATTTGATATTGATTTATTTGTTTTATTTATTGATATGGCACAGTGCATAAAGAAACACTAATACCAAACTTAATTTCTTATTAATTATTTAAATAAGCAGACAGTTTTCCTGTGATAATTGTTACAGTGGTAATTATTGACTTAATTCAAACAATTTACTGTGGATTGTGTTTATTTCTTGAATGAATGTCATATATGTACTCTATCTGGAAAAGATTATCTAAAAGCTTTGAAAAGTTGTGTAGATTTTTATTAATAATTGTAATGTTATTTTGTGAACAACACAAAAATGAAATATATCAGTAAAGATTTGTTTGAATTTATTCCTTTCATTCACTATAAATATATCTTGTATTAATACTACTGTATATGAAAAGGGCAATTTAATAGGTTTTAAAGTTGATTTGATTCCACATCAAAGATTTTGATTTTTTTAGTAACATAAATTAAAAATTTGAAATATTTGAATAAGTCACTGTGTTGGTAGAAACTCATGAGTATTTTCAGCAGTTTCATCATTCTAGCCGATGCTCCTCAGCTTACTTAGGCATAACATTTTTCTTCCACCAGCTTGAAGGTCGCAAATTCTGTCCAGTGGGAAAGTTACTCCCAGGGGTTAAAGTGGTCATTTTAGATGACCAGATGAAGCCCCAGCCAGTGGGGGTGCCTGGGGAGGTACGTGGTTGCGCACGCACGTGTGTGTGTGTGTGTCTGTGAATGCACTCATACATGTGTGTGCATGAATCATCATGTTTCTGTTGTAGTGTTGATCACAGCCCCAAATCCTCTTTTTATGCTTCATTTTAATGCTTATTATTATTATTTGATTTGACGTAATGGGTGAAAAAGCCAACAAATGGCCTTGTTAAACAGAACAAAATTTAAACATCTTCAGAATTAGTAGATGGCCAATTAATATACTTACTCATTTATTTGTTCATTCATTTATCCGTGACACTTAATATTTTGACATCAAACAGATCTATGTTGGAGGGCCCACCTTAGCTCTTGGTTACCTGAACAGACCAGAGCTGAACTCTGAGCGTTTCGTCCAGAGTCCAGGTGCAGTGTCCAGTGAGGTGGGCGCCAGGCTATACAAGACTGGAGACTGGGGTTACATGCTCTCGGATGGCAGTTTTGAGATCTGTGGTCGCTGTGACTCCATGGTGAAGATACGAGGGTATTCTATTGAAATACAGGTTAGGATTTAGATCATGAGTGAATTATATCTTTTGGTTGGACATGCAGCTATTTTTGTAATTTTACATATGGACCTAATACCAAATTAATCCTACCGAAATAGATTTTTAAATTTAAAAATTACAGAATTGGGAAATGGAAAAAGTTCTTCCTTCAGAAGGAAGTTCCAGTGAAAAAGTCTGAAGCAAATAAAAGTTAAGTTCATTTATTTATTTATTTTTAGGCCGTGGAGGCAGCCATTTTGGACCTGCCCACTGTGAATGCTGCAGTGGTGATAGTGAAGGGAGAAGAGGGGGAGGACAAGTACCTGGTGGCCTACATTGTACCTGAGGGACAGACCACCAAGAAAGAAATCAGAGCTGCACTTAAGAGAAGACTGCCCTTTTACATGATTCCATCCTATTTTGTACTGCTGAAGGAGTATGTGTTGTTATTGGTTACTTTTTAAATTTAATTCAATTTTATTTAATGATATTTATTTATTTATTTATATGGAAGGTCTGTTTTTGAATTTATAAATTAAAATTTGTAGTATTAAATTGTTCAATTTATAGAACAAATATATTTCACTGGATGTTAGGTTACCGATAATATTAAAATAACAAGATCAGTATGATGTATCAGGTCAGTACTTCTCAAAAACTCACAACTAAGTCTGATTTCTTGTACACACACAAAGTCTATTTCTATAAGGATCCCCATCTTAGCTTCGTCTGGCAAGTTTGACAAGAAGGCCCTCCCTCCTGTGAAGGAGGATGAAGAGACGGACCAGGAGGGGGCACCCACCACCGAGGTAGAGAAGCAGCTGGCCCTGGTCTGGGCGGAGGTCTTGCAGCACAAATCTATTGATGTACAGGAGAGTTTCTTTGATCTAGGAGGGTGAGTAGGATATACATTATATATACCTTCTATATGTATGTTGATAATATCATAGATGGACAGGGAGGGGGGAGGGGTCAAGAAGAGAAGGGAATTGAAAAGGGGATGGAGAACAAAATAAAATCAAATAGGGGAATTTTGTTATCTGTTGTAATCTGTCTTTGTGCCTGGGTAAAATGCTTCATGTAGGTCGAATCATAACCCATTTGATTTCATTCTCAAACTCTTTTTACATAAAAATCCTCACTATTTTACAGCTTACATAGTTTCTTATGAAAGCCACTTAATTTATAACTTTGTAGTTTTTTTTTTTTTAGGAAATACCAAGAATCAGAATATTTATTTATTTCTGTCTGGTATTCAAGATGTTCATTGTGGTTAATCGAAAGAAATATATAATTCGCTTCTTTTTATAAGGGGACACTTTGGTAGGAAGTGGTGCTCTGAAGTGTCGACTGAAATTTCAAAAGAACATTATTTATCATGAAAAATAGGGCAAAGACAGTCAGCGAGAATTAGTTGAAGTCTGAATACTCTAAAATGATACTGTTTTGACAAACGTTTCCAGCCATTCCCTTCTTGCCACAAAGCTGCTGAACAGAGTGAAGGAGCAATTCAAGACAGAGCTGACAGTCCGTGACTTGTTCATCCATTCCACGGTATCCATGATGGCCAAGCTGATAGAGAGGCAGTCGGGGACGGGTGACACTACACTGGCCAGACTGTCACCAGAGTTAGACCTTAGGAAAGAGGTTGAGATGCACAACCAAGGAGCTGTCAGGTTGGTGAAAAGATTGGTACAAGCTGCCTCAAGTACTTAATTGGTTATCATTTACTTCATATGTTAATTGTTATCTTTTACTTCAGGCCTGTTTAGAATTCCTGTTTGGTTTTTTGGGGGTCCACAGCCTTGGAAGGTGTATTGTTTACATTGATGGTTTTGGTTTGCGTGATTATAAAAAGTGTGTCAGCCTGATAATTGCAGGTTTTAAAATGTATACATATGGAAGCATATGAATGTGATAGCTGAGACCCTGGTTGCTGAGATGATTGTGTTAATGTCTGCTCACAATTAAATGTGGTAGGAAGAACAGCCACATATATCCACATGCTGTATGATCTCAGTAAACACACCAAATCTGATTTCATTGATACTGTTTATTATTATTATTATTATTATTATTATTAATTTATTGGCTAATATTATTTTAAAAGCCAGTGTATTACTAGTACATTCAGACAGACATTGCATTTGATTGAAGTTTTTTCTTCTCATGTAGCATGGACATAGAACTGCGCTCTTTCTGGAGGTCAGTGCAGTACAGTAATAAAAACAAGTGGTACAGAGGCAGGGTGCTTCTGACAGGTGCCACGGGCTTCCTGGGTGCTTTCTTACTGAGAGATTTATTACTTAACACAGGGGTGAGTAGATTTTCATATCATAGTATTTCATATCACGGCACTGTTCTACACTGCGCAATATACATTTTGCTGGTGCATAATTATAACAAATACTATGAACTGGTGGGGGGGGGGGGGGGGGGGCTTACATTTTAATCCTTGTTGTGAGCATTAATAAATCCTACCCTTTTCTATCAAATACGCTCTTTCCTCAGACTCATGTCTACTGTGTGGTGCGAGCCCTCCCCGAGAAATCAGGTCTTCAGAGATTGAAGGAGACACTGCAGCAATATGGCATCTTGCCATCTCCGAGGAAAGATTTGACCGAGGAACAGGAGATTTGTGCCAAGGAGGTGGATTATAGGGTTACCACTGTTGAAGGTTAGAATTATGTAATTATTTATATGTATATAATATACACAGGGAGATTCATTAAGGGTGTGCCCCTGGACCCCGCATTTCCACCCTCACTACACAGCCTCAGATCATCATTATTAATTAGCTTGACATGCAGATATGCTGATTGAAACTAAACAGAAAGAAAGCTTTATGTAACCCTGTTAACTCTTACCCCTTTACTAAATGTATTTACTAATATTTTTTGATAAGGTGACATTACTCTGGTAAATCTGGGGATGTCTGATGAAGACTACCACCATTTCACGACTGAGATTGACACTGTGATCCATGCTGCTGCTTATGTCAACCTTATCTACCCATATCAGGTAGGTGAATGTGTGTGTGTGTTTGTGTGTGTGTGTGTGTGTGTGTGTGTGTGTGTGTGTGTGTGTGTGTGTCTTAGATAGAGAGAGAGAGTTAGAAATCAAAGAAAGGCGATCAATTTATTATCACTATGGTGATTACAGATTGGTGTTTTTGTTGCTTCTTTGCACATTTCATTTGCATTGCAAGGTTTTAATCATTGATGTTATTAGTTTTGAAATGTGAAATAGGCTTTTAATTGGCATTTTATGATGGGATTTTGTTGTATAACTCATAAAATGACAGTGTGCTATGATTGGTATTTATTTCCTGTATGACCCAGGCACTCCATGGACCCAATACTTTAGGAACTCAGAATGTTATCATGTTTGCTTGTAAATGCAAAATTAAACCTTTGCACTACATAAGGTAAGGTGTATTGGGCTCCTGTCTGTACTGTATAGATGGCAGTCAGAATATCAGCTTGCTTGGTACAGTTGGAGAATGCATGCGAGTGCCCTTGAATTATATGCCAGGCCTCGATCTCTTATGGCTCTAACACACTTCTGCCTAAAAGCAGTCAAAGCCTACATAATTCACACATTCCTGCAAATAAACAGACACATCAACTAAGATATATACTATATGTAACAAATAGCATCATGTGAGAAGCTACCTAGAACCAGGCACACAGTCTTATATATATTACATTTAGACAATAATGTCTAAAACTATGAACCTTACTTGCCTTTATACTAAATGAACTAACTCTTTTCTAGTTTTGCATTTTTATTATGTAGTGTGAGCCTGCTATTGTCTATGCCTATCAATATCACTTATCTGTTTGTTAAAACTGACAGTTACGTGTCTTGAGTTACATATCTTGTGCAGTGATAAAGACAGTTTATGATAAGAAATAGATAATGTTAATGTTTGTAGGGCTTTTAAGATCTATTGAATGAAAATGAGTCTAACTTTTTATGACCTGTACAGTAATTAAGTAATGAACAAAAGCACACATGCCATGTCATTTGATTGACATCATTGAAATATATTTTTAAAAACAGGCTTAAAATTTAAAGTTCAAGGCTTTATTAATTTATTATAATTATAGACTAATGGATTTCATCACACATTTCAAATATTTTAAAGACTTATAAAATAAGTGATGACAATATTTAAGTGCACTTGATTTGTCTTTTCTTTTATTTCCTATATCTTTTTATTGCTACTAATTCAAAAGCACTAACTGTTCCTTTTGAATGAAGTTTATCTAACAAGTTATATAGAAGATTTCAAACACAGCAGCATGTTTGATAAATTATTTTAAATATTAATATTTAATTATTTTAATATATAAATTTGTAATAATCAGCATTACTAACTGAGTGCACACACATTAATATTGTATATGTAGAGGACTACGTTCTGCATGTTCAAGCAGTATACTAAGATATTCATCTGGGCTTTCTCTATCCATTACTATTTATTATTGTTTTACTACTATTTTTATTGTTTTTCTTATTTTTATTCAGTATATATCTTATTGGGGGGGGGGGTTAAAATTGACACAAACATTAATTTATCTTTTTTTTTTCAAAAAAAAAAAAAGGGAAGAGAAAGGAAAGAAAGAAATTATTAATTATTTCATGACAGAGAAAGGTCAGTGTGGATTCCTTGTGTATACATTTTCACTAAATAACTAACCAGTTTTAATCCAGTCACTTTCTCCTCTGTCCAGGCATTGCAAGGCCCTAATGTCCTGGGGACTGAGAACATCATCTTGTTTGCATGCAGCAGTAAAATAAAACCACTGCATTATATCAGGTACTAACACACATCTATTTGTTTATTTGATTAATTTATACCAAGATTACTAACCAGAGAGTAAGGATAGCCAACTAATGAACTGTATTGTCACTATGGACTCATTACTGAATAGAAAAAGAGGCCCTCTCTTTGTTGGAAAATGGGTAATGTACATGTATAACTGTATCACAAAATACACATACAGATGTACCTTAAGCTGAAGTAACAGAAACCCTGACCAATATACAGACCTATCTAGATCATAGATAAAAAAGTTATGGCTTGATGCACTGTTCCAGCACTGATGGTGTGTTTCCCCATGGATTAAAGGACTGCTCTGAGGAGGATGATATGACCAAGCACTGTGATAACCTGGCTGATGGTTACTCTCAGAGCAAGTGGGTGGCTGAACAGTTGGTCCTGAAGGCACGGAGCAGAGGTTTGCCTGTCGCCATCTATAGGCTGGGTAAGTACGAGTGAGAAAGAAGGCTACTTGTATATGAACGACAGCTATAAGAGTTGATCCTGAAGGCACGGAGCAGAAGCTTGTCTGTCGCCCTCTATAGGCTGGGTAAGTATAAGGAAGAAAGATGTCTGCTCGTAAATGGGTAGTAGAGCATGTCCAATTTATCTCCTGAGCAACTTATGTGTAGTGTATTTTTAAAATAATACAATAATATTGAACATTTTGGTAGGAAATTTGTCTGGAGACAGCAAATATGGCTACTGGAATGCTCAAGATTTCAACCTGTTGATGATCAAGTCATGCATTGAACTGAAGTTGGCGCCAGATGTCAACTGGAAGGTGGAAATGACGCCCGTGGACTTTGTGAGCAGTACCATTGTGCAGATGACTCAGGATATCATGTTGTCTATGGGGAAAGTTTTCCACTTAGTGAACACAAAACCCATGGATTCAAGGTAAATGAAATATAATGGTCGCTTTCCTTTCAGTTTAAATTTTTTTAAATTTTTGTACCATCTAGTAAGAAGATTTGGGACCCACATTTGACAAAATTTTGCACTGTAGCAATATTTTTTAAATGGCTGATTTTATAAGATTTTAGAGTGAAGTAAGTGTACTTGTTATTTCCAGGTGGTTGTTTGAGTGGCTGATGGCGCATGGTTATGCTGTGAAGATTGTCAGCTATGAGGATTGGGTCAAACGGTAGGTAGAACACTTTTAACTAGATTCTTTTCCAAGCTGCAAAACTAGGAAAGCCTTATTTATGTTCTGTGAAGAATTGTTCAGACAGCCTGTTATTTATAAATATTGGGAGCAGCAAAAAAAAACCTTTTGCCTCTTACCAAAACTTTGAAGTGTAGTTCTAAAAATGTTGTTATAAGAATGAATAAATAGGATCATCATTGGGTCATTACTCATAAGTCATTTATCTTGGTTATTGGTCTGTCAAAATGTGTTCAGTTGGCAGGTAATATAAGTGATGTAACAGTAATGGTGTTTACTTTTATATGTGTACTGCTTACAGGGTGAAGTCTGCACACCAGAAGAAAGGGGATGGTCTGCTTGTCAGGTTACTAGACAACATGGTCATGTAAGTACAGGAATACTTGCTATTGTAGCAATTTTTCTGTGCTAATTAATAAACTGGAGATTTTGGAAAGTAATGGTAACATTTAAATGGAAAAAATTGTTTGGCTTAATTCTTTCCGGCATCATATAGTCTTTCCAGTCTTGGAATTTGGTAGTATACTTACATAAGACCGTTTTTTGAAAGATATAGTTTAACTCCAAAAATTGGTAGAAAACACATGTCTGTCTATTTGTTAATCTGTTTGTGTTTGTGTGTGTGTGTGCATCGATAAGTGTATGACTGTGTGTGTGTGTGTGTGTGTGTGTGTGTGTGTGTGTGTGTTTAATCCTAGAAACACTTTTATGCCATTGCAGTGCAATTATATTGCACACCAGGTACACCTATACCTTTGTCATGTTAAATAATCTTATATAAATCATGTTTTAGGGACAGCAGTTTTTTCTCCAACCTTAGCACCTACAGAAATGACAACTTCCAAGTGGTAATGAAGACTCTTGGCCTCTCATTTCCATACACAGACTCCACCCTGCTCAACACATACTTCAGAGCTCTGATAGTGCAAGGTGTCATACCTAAACCTAGGAGAAAAACACTGAGTAAGTCAAACATGAGGGGGTCATTTCTTTATGTCCTTGCATCCATGAACTCACTGGCATTGTTTCTTCCCTGCTGCATTTCCTCCTCGTAGGCAAAACTTGCATTGGTATTCTCAGCATCATTTTTTGGGGCTAAGGTATTAACAGTTAGGTTTTAGAAAAATGATGCTTTATACAGTGTATGCCACATTCTTACAAGTTTGGAGAGAAGATGTGGGGGAGTGATGGTAGGAGATGTACATGTAAAGATGTGGGGAAGGGGGTCTACCATGTGGGGACATAAAAGGATGTTACTGAAGTGAAATATATTTACCATACTTCCCCCCCCCCCAAAAAAAAAAAAAAAAAAAAAAAAAAAAAAACATAGATTTACAAGTACTACTACAGCAAGTACTAGACATTTTCAGACGGTTTGCCTCAATTTCACTTGTATGTTGAACTATATTTTGAGCTCTACAAATCACAGTTCGAGAGGATGTATTGTCTTGGGCCTTAAAATGATATCAGTACAAATTTGTTGCCCTTTTTGTGTCCAAAACATTTCAAGTGAGACAGAAAATAAGCCATAGAGGGTATACATTGCAACCAGTCAGCTGAGTTTTCAAATTCACTCCACAGATGGCAGCACAGTCTGAGTCTTCAGTAGGTGTGCGATGTTCACAGTTTGCTGTATCACATTTTTTAATTATAATTTTTATACATTCATTATAATTATTATTTTCATACTTAGTTTAAACTCCTATACATATATGTAGCCTTTTATGCGAACCTAGAAGGGTGACAGTGAATAACTGGTAATGTGCACATTTTGCTAAATACCATAAGATGAAGACTATAATCCTCTAGCTTAATCTGCAGTTCATATGAAAGACATTGAAAAGGATGGCAATTTTGTTTTCCCATTCAGGCTTAAAAGAAAGCCTTGTATGGACTTCTGATTGTATTTAAAATTGATTTTTAGACACAGTAGTAAAAAGTAGCCTATTTTCCAAAACATCTCCCATGTACACAGTCCTTATAATAGTAAGTGTAAGTAACCTATATTCCATAGATAGTGATATGAATTTCAAATATTTTTTTGTTTGTATAAGGATTAGCTACTAGTATGATTATCTCAACTTTGAACACCTATGCTGTTATTCACAGGTGATAAACCTTTGGCCGGGAAGGTTGCCATAGTCACGGGAGCATCCAGTGGTATAGGAGCAGCCATTGCCCGTCACCTGGCTGGTGCAGGGGCTGCAGTTGCTGTGGCAGCCAGGAGAGTTGATAAACTGAAAGAGCTGCAAGAAAAGATTGGTGAAGAAGGAGGAGTAGCAATAACAGTCAAATGTGATGTCACAGTCCGTGAAGAGGTAAAGAATTTCCCACTACTGTAATAATTCTGCATACACAAGCTAATGTATATTATGATGATGTATGCATGATGACCAAATATCTGTTCTTGATTAACCATTTCTTTTCAAAAGTACATAACTCCTTTAAGTCATAGAATTCATATCAATAATGTGGATAATTGTTCAGTAGTTTCATCAAGGGTATGGTTGAAAAAAGCTTTCCTTTCTTGCTTCAGTATTTAAATTAATTAGACAAATAATTTATTTCTATTAATTTGATTTATTTTAATTAAACATTTTTTTCAGCACTTATGAGGAAAGTTATAAAGATTAATCTACCAGAAATAAGATGAAGATCATTGAGAGCTTTTTATTGTGCAATTTTTATATTTTATTTTATTTATTTATTTTTGAACCATCTATTCAAACTTGTTTTTGAATCACCCCAGGTAAAAGAACTTGTGCAGCATGCAGAATGCACCCTGGGTCCCGTGGATATTTTGGTGAACAATGCAGGAGTGATGTACTATACTCTTATGAAGAATTTACATGAGGAAGAATGGGAGAGACAGATTGATCTCAATTGTAAGGTAGGTACATGCACAGGCTGACACCCTGTATGTCACAGCAAATATTGCTGATAGCACCTTGTCCTTTGTATGAAATCTGGGACTGAAATACATTCTATAACAGAGTTACTCTGAGTGTTGTAGGGTCATAAAGAAGTGCTTACTAATGAACAGATGTTCATTTCTATTAGTGTTTATATCGCTTAAGTATTCTGAATGTCACAGCTTATATTGCTGATAGCACCTTATCCTTTCCATAAAATCTGGGAGTGAAAAAAAATTATAACAGAGGTACCCTGAGTGTCATAGGGTCATACATTAGTACTTACTGATGAGTAGTTGTTCATATCAAATAGTATTTGATGTGCAGCCAGTGTTCACTTTAGTAAAGAAGTGTTTCTGTTCCAGGGTGTCACCAACTGCATAGGTGCTGTGTTAAGTGGGATGCTGGAGAGGAAAGCTGGCCATATTGTCAACATGTCTTCAGATGCAGGCAGAAAGGTATGGATATTAGTGAATGTGGTGTATGGTTTACTCTCAGTGATTCATCATGTCTGCCTTAGGTTTGCATTTCACTCTGAAACAATGGCTAGGTATCAGAGAAGGTGTCCATTGTAAATAATATAAAATGTACATAAAGTGTAACAAACTAATAATGTATATGTAATGTATATATCACAAACAGAATTTCCCAGGTGTGGCTGTTTATTTTGAAATTAAGGAAATATAAAATGTTCATTATGTAATGTGATATTAAACAGAGCTTTTCTTCTTTAGCAGTGCATTCTGATAATTTGGGTTTTCATTTGCAGTATAAAATGTACATTAGATGTAACAAGATTTATATAATGTTACACTTATCAGGTTCCCCAGGCCTGGTCTTGTTTTTCTGATATTTTGGGGTTCTATTTTCAATATAAAATGTACATTAAATGTAACATATATCATATGCTTTATATCAGGGTTTCCCAGGCCTGGCAGTGTATTCTGGTACCAAGTTCTTCATAGAGGGGATGTCTCAGGCTCTGAGACAGGAGGTCTGTGACGCTGGCGTCCGAGTGACCTGTGTCCAGCCTGGAGATGTCAGGACAGAGCTACTGGGACATACCACAGACACTGAGGTAAAGGGAACAGCCATAAAAGTCTTCTTCTTCTTCTTATTGTAATTGTAATGATGATGATGATGATAATGAAAATGTTAATGAAAAATAATATTCTTAGAAGAAGAAGAAAATAATAATGATAATTATAATGTTAATAAAAATAATAATTATAAGAAGAAGAAAATAATCAATAACAATTATAAAAAAGAAAAAATAATAATTAACGGTTCATTAAAACTGCACCCCACATTTATCTCAGTGCTTTATGTATAAGATAAAAATAAGATCAAGGTGAAGAAAACAAAAAGAAAAAAAAAATTATAGAATTTGTGTCATGCATAGAGTTTACGGCACTGTGCGTGTGCGTGCGGGCACACCTGCTATGTCTTGTTATGTAGGACTTGTAGTGTATGATAAAAAAAATTTTATAGCTTATAGTTGGATCATATATAAAAATTATCAAACACAAGCTGAAAAACTTAGAATATATGTTTTATGGAAAGTTGAATACAGCTCAGTAAAATATGTATAACAATATATTTTTCAGGCCAAAGAGCAGTTTGACGGGAGCAGCAGCCATAAGATCCTGGAACCAGAAGACATAGGCCGTGCCGTGCTGTATGCTGTGTCCCAGCCAGAGTATGTGGGAGTTAATGAAATCCTTATAGAGCCAAGGGCAGCCCCAGTGTGAGGTACCCAGCCCCAGTCACAATGTTGTAGCATCAAGATGCAATAGGACTGAATGAGCAACTGGAAGAGGGCAGATATTACAAACATATTATGTGGAAATCTGGCACAAAATGTCTTCATGAAAGAATACTTTACCAAATGATGCCGTAATGAGACCATGGAGAGTGGTGATCATGCATTTTGCTATAAATGACGATAAAAATTCCAGCTTTTATTCTATTAATTTCATTGTTCCAAAAATTTGAAAGATATGCATAATTTCTGCATATTAGAACCAACAGCTATTAGAAAATTATTATATAATCTTTTTTGTTCATTGCTATTAAATTAGTTAGCTTATTTGTGGGAGATGATCACGCAAATCAATGATGATCAGTGTGCTATGAGTAAAATAGGGGTGAAGCACAGGATGTGTGATATATATAGCACTATATTATTATAGCAAAAGCCATAGTGATAAATAAATTTGTGCCATAATATTTAATGCCAGGGGTAACAGGAATTGAGATAGTTAAATGTAATTTAGTACACAGTGATTAGGTATAATATATATATAACAAAAAAAGGAAATAAAACCATAAAATAATGTTAAAAATTGTTTTTACATCCATTTCTTCCCACCCAACAAATTGCAGTGACTTTGAGTTTAGAAACATATTTTTACATAATGACTCCACTTAGCAAGACTTAAATTGCAAAGTGCTTTTAACAGCGTCTTCAGTCGCATAGCAATAATTTTGTCATTATCACTCATGTACTGACGTCTGTTCCATATCCATAGTGCATGTAATCACTTTCACCTGTTCAACTGTAGTCGTCTTCTTTTGAACAAGAAAAAACGACACCAATGGGGTTTGGACAGTATTTTCTGTTGTACGTGTACTTATCATTGACTGGGACGCTATATGATGGGGGAAATAATTATTGACAACGATTCGATAATTTGATTTTCTAGGAAAGGAGTGCGATGTATGATTCTTGGTATATGGTTAATAATAGATCATGTGTTAATGATTTGACACATGTATGATGTTAAAGAAGGTGAGAAAAGAAAAGAGTAATGCAATAGGTAACTATAGGATGCCCTTCAGAAGTACAGGTTTGTGTCATGGAAAATGGAAAAATTAAATAAAGAAAATCATTAAGAGACGTAGATTCGGTTAAAATTGTAATTTATTTTTTTCCTACTCTGGAGTAGCTGCCTGTCCAGATGTCTTCAACATTTCGAAAAATATTATAAGTTGTCTAAAGGTGGAAAATGTAGAAACATCTGTTTTGTTGGAATACAATGCCTAATATGATTGAACTCCCACAAAATTGTAGGCATTACCATTCATATGGAATGTAAAAGAGGACGGATGATTATGTACGTTATATCTGTACAATTCTGACGGAATCCATGACTTCGGCTCACATATTACAAGATGAAAATTAAATGGGCTTATCAGAACTGATATGTGCTGAAGGCAGATCATTTTAACACTGCTCCATCTTAATAATTCAACACTAAACAATTGAATTTCAAGAAATGGTGTCTCGTGACATTAAACACAAAACTATTAAATTTCAAGAAATGGTCTCTCATGACATTAAACACTAAACTATTAAATTTCAAGAAATGGTCTCTCATGACATTAAACACTAAAACTATTAAATTTCAAGAAATGGTCTCTCATGACATTAAACACTAAACTATTAAATTTCAAGAAATGGTCTCTCATGACATTGAACACTAAAACTATTAAATTTCAAGAAATGGTCTCTCATGACAATAGGGGCTGTCTTCTTGGGCATAAATGTAAATATTTTACCGTCAGAATTTTATCCTTACTGAGACTGGTCGTTAGATATTAAAGATGATTAAAACGATTAAAATAGCATAAATGAAGTCAGTATATGAAATTGATTATATCTGAGACAAAGTAAGCATCTTAGAACTGCTCGCAGTGCTTAAGCGAATTTTAGTATTGTGTAATTTTATTTTATTTTATGGTTATGAAACAACGCTGTTTAATTTAAAATTAAATGGGCACGTGACTGATATCAAATAAGATACAAAAATATTTGATTTTTATCGAGTAATATGTAATGCTAATATTTAGTGATTGTACTGAAACCACATTTTTTAAAATTAGAATATTGTCCTTCTACTTTTTTTCAATTGAAAATTAAACTTGCATGTAATCTGAAATAAATTGGATTTAACTGAAGTATCCCCCTGAAACTAGATGAATTGACTATGGGAAATTGCTCCATAAGGGGAACTACCGTTTATTGGTACCTGGTTAGATATTGAAAAGTTTTGCCCAAGAACACACAAAAGAATCAAGTCTTCAGTGTTTTTGAACCCTTTATTCAACATGATGGTCCATACCAGGGGGTTCAATAAAAAAAAAAAAAAAACAGACCCATTTTTAAACTGTACACGCACTTTAAAATGTCTCTTCGTCTGGCTTCAGCCCGCGGCAACATTGTCAAATGTAGCTGATGGTTTATGGGCAATCATGAAGTGTGATTGGTCATAAAAATCAACACGTCAGTATTTCTAAATGTCCGTCCAGCAGCATGATTGCTAATATATAAGAGGGTTCAAGTCTAGGAAAAGGTTACTTGGTGACAGCAAACGAAATATAAACAGGGCGCACCTGTCGACTAGGCCAGATACATGTAACTGAATTTATTATATTGAAAAGCAGCAAATATTGCCAAGACCTTGACTTGATACTTTTTCAATTGAATTTGTGGATATATGACAGTTGAAAGATAACGCTTAACAGGATCTTCAGCTGGATTAAGTTATGGCTCCATACAATGCAAGTAGCATCAACGCATCAGTAATGAGAAACGGAAGGATGAGTTTTAAGATGAATCCAATCTTAATTGGCCACATAGCTATCACCGTCTTGGCTGTTGGAGGGATTGTTCTGAATACCTTGGCGATTGTTATTTTCTACAAACACAGGAAAACAAACAAAACTATGTTTCTTCTCCTGACTTTGACAATTAATGACAACATCTTTTTAGTTGTACGAATCCTGTTATCTGGTTTTAACATATGCAAATCGACTTTTTTAGCTGAAGAGCTCAATGCAATTGAACCAGATATTCTCGATCACGTTGGAACGTTGTTTAATTTCTTACAAACATTTCAAGTTTATGTGGCAGTTTTAGTTGCGAGAACCCGCTTCCAGAGCATCAGAAAACCTTACAGTGCACATACCCAAGGTCCTTTATCTGTAAAGGAAAGGTTCCTTCCGATCGTCTCGCTGTTGGTGGTCCTCCTTCTGTTCAACAGTGCAAAACTATTTGATGTGGCACATTTGAATAGCAGTGACTGTGCGAAATCTGCGGAAGAATTCTGTCCAAGGTTGCACTTGAAACAAGGCGATTTCTGGCGAAAATACTCCGTTGTTTTTAGACTTATTCTTAACATTCCAGTTTCGTGTGTTCTCCCAATGGTGTTTTTCATATACTATACTGCCAGAACAATGAAAGAGCTATCGATGCATCAGAACAGAATTGCAACAATACAAAACTGCGCCAAGATTTCACAGCGTAATAGAAAGTTACACTGGGAAATGTTAAAAATGTTGTCAGTAATAACAGTGTTAATGCTTGTAACTAATGTTTTGTTCATTGTATTACAGGTCAGCAGAGTTTTTCCAAATTGTTGTGCAGAAAACTCACGTTTTATAATGTTACCGTTGGGTCTTATCTCTACCATTAGCTCCTCAATAAACTTTTTCATTTACGGCATATTTGGATCTCAATTTAGAGAAGACATCAAGAGATTTTCCTGCTGTAAGTAGAAACATAAATGTATATTGTAAATGGAATGTTTTGTAGAGAGAATATATTTGATTTACAAACAAGCAGTAGCAATTGAATTTTTTCTCAAAAAAAAAAATAAAATAAATAAATAAATAAATAAATAAATAAATAAATAAATAAATAAATAAATAAATATAATAATAATAATAAAGAATACTTGCAGTTTAAATTTTGTGGTCATTTTTCACTTTCATCACATGATTTCATTTGATTTGTCAGTGCCACAACTTACATCTTGGGAAGTTTAATTTCTGCATGAAAACAATTCTTGGCGCCTTTGGACAAATTTACAGTTCAAACTCTCGAAATATGACTTTGAAATTATCAAAAATTTGCTATAATAATACTAATAATAAATTTCTTAAAACCGCGCTACAAATGCGTCTCAGTGCTGTTTACACATGACATGTGCATAAAAATTAAAACTGTACAGATAAATTAAAAAATAATATGAAGTAATTAAAAGTAAAGATACAAGTAAACCAAAATATTCTTTTAATATACAGATTTTTAATTTCCTTTTATAACTATGATACATAATTATTTACAACGTTTGACTTTTGGTAAGGTGAACTCGACAAATTATTGAAGCTGCAATAATTGATCAACGCCGAAGGAGGTGGGCGTCAAAGATCGTGACCATGTAAGAACGTTTATTATTGCGTTTGCTGGGGGCTTATTTCATACAGGGACTAACGACGAGAAGTGTCATTATTTTCATTATTTCTCAAAAGGAGACAATTACTTATTGTTACTAAAACCATCCGTGGATAACTCGATGACCCTAACACTCTGGGAAGCAATCATCAGCTTTTATAGAGTTGTTTATTAGTCGCTATGCTGGGTGTGATTTCACGGAAAAAATGAAGGGAAAGCTTATCTTAATCTCAAGACTGACAGGTTTGGTCGATAGCAATGGTAGAAAGCCACTTTCTTTTACTCAAGAATAATTGCTCGATCCGTACCAGCAATTGGATTTGATGCTTTATTCCACTTCAATAAAGTTTAATAAATTAGTTCTAAACGACTGACCGGTCATTTAGAATTCCATCGACATCAGGTAGTTTTACTTGAGGAATTTTATACAACTTCAAAAAAGTCTAATTGTACTAGATACTGATAAGTGGCTTTGCTGGATATGTAGACACAGAAATTATGAATTTGGGAAATTTTCAAACTCGTACCTTTAAGGTACCCATATATATTTTCATGGCATAGCGAAATAAAGCTCGTGTGGAGGTTGCTTCGATTCACCACTTTATTTAAACATCTCTGTGTATTTGCAGCACGTTTATAGATTTAAAGGCATTTAAATGTCCTGAATATATACAAGTAAACCAAAATATTCTTTAAATAGACAGGTTTTCAATTTCCTTTTAAATCAATGAAGCTGCAATAATTGATCATCGCCGAAGGCGGTTTGCTTCAAAGTTCTTGACCAGGTAACAATATATTATTGCGTATGCTGGGGGCTTATTTCATAAAGAAGCTAATGGCGGGAAGTATTATTATTACCATTATTTCTCGAAAGGAGACAATTACTTATTGTTACTTAAACCACTCCTGGATAACTCGATGACCCTAACACTCTGAGAAGCAATCATCAGCTATTATAGAGTTGTTTATTAGTCGCTATAGGCCTACTGGGTGAGATCTTACAGAAAAAAAAAATGAAAGGAGAGCTTATCTTTATCTAAAGACTGACAGGTTTGGTCGTTAGCAATGGGAGAAAGCACGAATAATTACTTGATCCATCCCTCCAATTGGATTTGATGCTTTATTCCATTGCCCTAAAGTTTAATGATTTAGCTCTTAATGACTGGCCAGTCATTTAGAATTCCATGTCTATTCTACTGACATCCATATTGATAATACCAATAGCATTTTCCAGAAATCAACAACCTTTACATACCAATGAAGGAACGATTAGTCGAAAATAAATCAGCTAGCTTTAAAACCATACACTGGCAGTAATTAGCCATTGAGTGCGGCTGTTTTTACGCATATATCTCGCGAGTCTGTACCAGACAAGTGTAGATGCATGTTTACGTGGTTCATCAGTTCAATCAGGTGTTCTTATGCTTGTCTCAGTACGGTTTTGCCATTTACTCAGACAAGAATCGTCTATCACCGACTCTCTGGTAAATCTGTTCTTGTGCTCTTGTGAAATACTAGTAGGTGTACCAGTTTTATTTAGTAGCAAGTATATCACTCCTTCTCTTGTATTTGGTCGTTTTAGGTGGAGGTGCCTTTGAAGTAGTCCTACGCAATTGCACGCTGACGTAAGAACAAGAAATCAAGAAAACAAGAAATCATACTTCAGCAAGCCACGGGGATTTCTCTCATATAATCAAAAAATACCGAGTGCGAAGAAGACTTCGAATAAGGACCTGCGGTTAAACCTGTTTGATTTTCCTCAATTCGTAGGGTTCTAGTTATAAACTGACTTTCGCAAAGCTCTCGATATGTATAGATTATCGTGCGTGATGTTGTTGTGGACATTTTGTACCCTTTTTGAGATGTACCGCTGTGCTCCTTTGGCACACAGGAATGGTTTTGGCACTGTTGACCCACCATCAACACCTCAGTTCATCATGGAGGTAGCCGAAGGTGCCAACGTGTCTCGCGCAGCAAGCACTATAGGTGAAGATGAGGACGATCATCAGAGTGATATTAAATCGACATATATCAGTAAAAAGAAGTTCGAGGCAGAAACCATTGCACGCCGAACTGATTCTTATGCTACGGGTAAGGTGCACGCCCGTCCTCTAGCGTCGCACCCGGAGCTCCTGTCAACAACTGCAGATGCAAATGATGAGATTTTTCTCGAGTTTCTGCGAGAGCTTGGGCAACTTGAAAGGTATTTTGATAAGGAAGAACCCAAGAAGAATGCGGACCCTGAACTGTATCATTTTAATTCGAAATCAAACGTTGAAGGCAAAGCATCATCTGCGGGTCTTATTCCGAAAATTTCGGACCTTCAAGAAGACGTGGAAATTAATCAGACAGCAAAGAGGCTGAGGGCAGATAAACTGAAACATCTCCTCGCCCCGGCTTATGAATTTAAGCACGACGTCCAAGAGACGCATGAAGCAAAGATGAGAACAGGAATGGAAAAAGTACTGCCATCACCCGAATACGCCTTCCGTCAAGCCGTTCAGAAAGTCAGAAAAGGACACGTTAAAGATCAACCAGTGCTTGAAAAATCTAAACTTTCTGCGCAAAATAAGGATGCAGATTACAGCATAGATATCAATCCTCCGCCACCTGTCATCTACCATCACGTACATGTATATTTGGACCCTGGGAGTGGAGAGGAGACGTCTGATATCAAATCTGCAGCAGACGATCGTAATGAGAGATATCAAGTGGCGCCATCTGCGGGCAACACCAATCATTATCAAGAGGCTTTAGACGTGACAGGCGAAGGGCTGAATATTACCGACATTGACAAAGATCCGGATTGGAGACTTCTTATGTTGCTTATCCAAAAAGAGCTTAATCGAGAAAATGTTTCTAAATGGGACACAGAAAACAGCGGAGACGGACAAATAAATTAAACGAATGAATAGCGATATTTAACTGTGCAAACAGTTGCTACATTTTATTAAAGGCAGTAATGGTGTATATGGCATTGCATGGTGCTTGTGTGGTTTAGTATTCCATTTCAATATACGACCGCAAATATTTTAAAACATTGGCTCGTAGGCTCTGTTTGCGATCCAAGTTCTGCTACTTGGTGCTGTTACGTGTACATGTATCGATATAATTTATTGGTTGTGCATTATAAACTTCATTTCAAGTCATTTATTTGTTTGATCATCTGCTTGTCTTATTTTTCGTTTTTGTTTATAATCTATAAATTTGTTTCTATTCTTCTTAGGCGCTATATGTAGTGCGGGGCACCTGTCATTTTATTAAATAAAATCTCTCAGAAAAACAAAATAGTTTCACTGATAGAGATCCTTGATAGACTTTCATGTAATTCACTAAGTAAGGGAGATTGCTAAGTCCTTCTTAATGGAGTCTTCGCTGAAAAAGTCAACAATTGCAACGATGTGATAAAGCGCATATTCTAATTTTCGCTTGTTTTTCATAATGTGTCGCACGTATATACTTGATTCAAATCGAAATTTCCAGACTACAATTGCTATTCTTGCACTAGCTGCAGCGGCACTGGCGGTAGCACAACATCCTTCTCCTACGGATGTTACAAGTCCATAACAACTATTGGTGGTAAGATAAGGGATCATAATATGGATTTTTAAATGTCTTTAATATTTTTTCTCCATATAACTAATTACAACAAATGGACAATTTAGCTTTTAAGAAAACATGTTAAAACATGTTCAATTAAAAATTCGTTACAAATTTAACTTAAAAATATCAGTGCACGTCTGGAGTCAACTGGGATGAAGCATCACTTACCTTTACACCCACCCATCTGCTCCAAGAGTTTTCTCTCCCATGTATTTTTTTTTTTTTATCTACAGACAGTACTAGTTCAAGCTGTTCGCTTCTTTTATCTTCTATTTGGTCCCAACACGTGTGAAAGTTACAAGTCTATACGATTTTAACAAAGCTTCGATGATCTTTTTTCAACATACATCCTTTGTTTTATGTTTATTTTACAGGTTCTCGGTCGATCACCAAGGGGTGTATTTCCAGCAGTAGCTCACAAACACTGAGCTCTTTTGCTGACTACGAATATTGCGTCTGCAAGTCGTCTTATTGCAAAGCGGCCCAGGCTATCAGACCTAGTATATGCCGTTCTCTTGGTATCGCGGGCCTGATAATCAGTTTGTTTCAGTACATACATACCCCGATATGAAACTGAAAATTCTTGAAAATGGAAGAGAGAGATTTTGAAAGGACGGTGTATCTTTACTTTACACAGTGAATGGATATTTGGAACATTTATGGCCAGTTGGTTTGAGATGGTGACCTTTATTAATTCAGCGAGAGTCCCCGTGGCTAGTGCCAACTGACAAATTCTGAATGCCCCCCATGACTCCATTCCCATAGTCACCATCAGTTTATTTAACTCGACTCTTGCTAAGTGCAATCAGCTAAACTGAATCGCACGCATTCTCTAACCAACTAGGACGCATCCTCCTGTTTCCAACTTATTCGTTTAATCACCAGCTTTTCTATATTCTACTGAACGCCAGGAGGAGTGTTAATCTGGTAAGCTGATTGCACTCAGCGTGAGTCACAGCAGAGTTGGATCGATATAGGTAAACCGATAGTGTCTATGGAAATGGGGCCTATGCGTTTCCACGCTCTTTGGGTAAAGAGTCCCAAGTCTTTGGCTTCGTTCACATGGAAAGTCTATTTTCTAAAAATCTATTTTCTATTCGCGGTATCTTATGATCACGGTCTGTGCCCTGAATATCCCGCGGCGTAATTACTGGCAGCGCGAGCCAGTTACTTACAGTAACTTATAGTAAATTTTGCTTGCAATTGTATTTTAAATCAATGTCCTATGTACATGTACGTTGCATAATATTCCACACTTAGTAGGCCTACCTTTTTTCACATTATAACGAGACGAAAAGTCAAACGATCTGTTATTGTTTATCTCTGCTGAGAATTTAGTTATTTTTGTAGTTTTTCCACATATACCGGGTACATGTACGATCCTGAAATTCACGGTACTGATATGGACGATAACTTACAAGACTATAAGAGGGCGTTTGGAGTTTTTTTACAAACATGCTCTTCATATCTCTATATATCATTAGACAAAGTTGTACAGCCACAAGGATAAGATACAGGTCCAGGCGGAAAACCCCCGGGAGCATAAAGAAGGGAATGGACTACCGATGATATTATTTTCATATTATATGTTTTGTGTCCTTTAGTGCTTTTAATTAACAAAATTGTACTGTTGACGATATAAAGATATTTATCCACATGTATAGGCGTGTGCAAGTGTATGTGTATGTGTGTGTGTACTTGTGTTTGTGTTTGACACTATATTCTTATATAGAATGTGTTTAATATAGAATGTATATGATCCATAATTGCATATACATGTATATGATATATTTGCATTATGTATTGTTCTCTTTTAAATTTTTTTTTGCTACGAGATTAAAAAAAAACGTGTGCCATTGTTTACCTCTGATTAAAACTATTTTTTTTATTTGGATATGCTTTGCCTCGCCACAGAATATATACATGCCGTTTACATTATTCACTATGGTGGTGATAGAAACTTCATGAAGGTGATCTTGATTGCGCATGCCCTGCATGTTCGTTATGCCGATGTCAAGGTATTTTGTCATTTTTCATTGTCTCAACATGTTTTCGATATCAAAATATAGAAAACGTACTCATGACATACAGTTTTGTCAGTTATCATTTTGTTGTTTTCAAATATATTTATTAAATGAAGGATTAAAAAAAAAACACTTGCCATGTCATAAAATTTATTTTTATTCTTTAAGCACATATATTACGATGGAAGGGAACATTTAATACACATGTATAACTTGGTATCAAAATATATTAGTTTTCACAGTCCTTATTTGCAAATTACCTCTAAAACTTTCTAAAATGCGTTGAGGGATGTAGGCTAATGTTATTCTAAATAAAATGTTTAAGCATGCCATCTTTTAATATGGAAATTATGGAAATTAAAATGCACAATATTTATCAGTCTTTAGTGTCTGCATATATATATATATATATATATATATATATATATATATATATATATATATATATATATATATATATATATATATATAAAATATATGTCTGATAATGAGAGGAATAAAAAAATCATAAATATAATTATTATTAAAATTACCATGATCATTATTCAGAGACTAAAATCCGAAAATATTGAAAAGATTTCTCAATGTACGTGTAGAAGAAAGGAAGCATCCTCTGTACAATCTATATAATAGTTTGCTTTTCCTATTTCGTCAATCCAACACTTCTTGGACGTTTTGCCTTGCCCCCCCCCCCCCCCCCCCCCCCCCCCCCCCCCCCACCCCCCCCCCCCCCCCCCCCCCCCACCCCC